AGATCTTCAAGTGGACCTTGCATTAGGTTACTTGAATACAACCTAGAACAATATCATGTATAAGATCATGAATTCGGGCTTAAATAAGCTCTTGAATAAAAAAATAATTAGTCAGCATATGCCAATTATTAATGTGTAAGAACTGGTATTTTAGCTTTTTTACAATGCTTTGTTCCCAATGCTCACTTAGCCCGGTTTTCCAACAGTTTTTTCCACCCATGCCAAACTGCGGTTTCAATTAGTCCTTATCGTGTCATCAGTACTCCTAACGGGAGTATCGATAAGGCAAATCCGTTTTTGCCAGTGTAATCGCCTACACTACTTATTTTCATATTGAGTAGGTTTCAATATTATCTCTATATGCTGTATATAAAATGACTACGACCCATGTAACGATCGCTAATTGGCCAATTCAATGGAGGCCTTCAACTGCAAGCCGATAATCATATTTTCTCCCCTTCCTACAAAACGGGTCTTGTGCGATTGGTCAACGCTTCAGTTCATCTTCTGAGATCGGACCGGCCCTTTCCTCCGGACAGTCGATGAGAAAGGGGAGCATGTGGGTCATTTTTTATTTAGCCTCCTACCACTCACCCTCTCTCTCCCCATCGCTCTGGCTCTCGGTCTCCATCCTGCCCTCTCTTTCTCTGTCTAGCCCCGATGGGACAATCAAAATCCCTCCACTCCGCCAACAAGCGCAGACGCGCGCCCCAAATTCTCTACCTACGTCTGAAATGACATACAGCTCTTCTCGTCTCTCGCCTTCGTCGGTTGGTTGCAGGCTTCCCGACCGGTCCACTCTTGCGTTGGCGTGTTTATCCGGTTGCCACGCTTTCGGGCCAGGCCGACTGTTGACTCGGCCGGAGCTCGTCAGCCCTCCTCGACCTCTACCGCCTCGAAAAGAACTCGGCCCACCGGTTCGACAGGGTTACGTACAGCTGGAAGTATTTGTTGTCCTTAAAGTGTAGGCCACGAATCGAAAGTGAGCCTTGCTGTTAGAACTTTCATTTTGTATGAAAGCGCTGGATGAATTTATGCTTTGTTTGATCTCACCTGAAGACGACGGCCCATTCCGAGTGTTCTGTAGTCGTTTGACTTTACTACCAGGCCCAAATCCACGC